ACCAAGGAACAATTGCGTGTTGAGATCAAGCGAGAGGCTTCGCATCAGATCTTGGAAGGCCGTCAAGCTCGCAACGACGGCGAGAAAGGAGCATGGGCGAAGGACATGGGTGCTGAGCCCATGGCTCCTGAAGTAGAGAACGCAGTTGGTGTCCGCACAACCGCCGCCAGTCTTCAACCCAGCGATGACAGCATCGAGAGTAGCGCTAGGATATTCGCAAAAGTTGGTGTTGACGGTTTTCAATGAGCTGCAGCAAGGCTTGGGAACAGGAACGGTCGTCGTCGAGGTGCAGTCCGAGTCAGTCATGCATCCAGTCACTGTGGTAAGCAACGGACAGTACGCGGCGCAGTCGGATCCCTTTGCCTTCTGCGATCATGAAACAAGTCACTAGGCTGTAGGCAAGCAAGCCAGCTTCTCTCTGACTTACAACGCCAGCGCACTGTGCGTCGATCTTAGCCTTGCAAGCTGCATTGTCAGCCGGTGCTACGAGCTTGTGTGCAGCGATCAAGGCGTCGACGCCAGCATCAGCCACAGCTTTCGACGCGCAGCTTCCGTACTTGAAAGTCGTCTCGGGGCATCCGCCTGCGTCATAGGTCAGCACAAGCATCTGTGAATCACTTACACGGTGAAGAAGATCTACAACCCGATACGACACCAAGAGGACGATGAGGAGGAGGAGCAAGAGGACGAGGAGGATAAGGACAAGCACGAGAAGGACTCAAGAAGCAGAAGAGCCTGAGAGACAGGAGGGAGGGAGCTACCGTTGGTGGCCTTCTTCTCAGAGATGTAGCATGTGGTAGCAGCAGTAGCCGCCACGAGGGTGAGGCAGAGGAAGGATCTGAAGAGCATCGCGATGGAGCGTCGGCTGCGTGGTCAGTCGGGTTTTATACTCTTGGTTTTTTTTTCTACAACTTTGGAGGGAAGTTGATATTCTTGAAGATGCTGTGCAAAATTTGTAATGGTGAGATGAGTATCTTGAAGTGGGTTCAAATCCGCCTCACGAGAGCTTGCGTTGAAGTTGACCGTGTGTTTTGAAATGCTCGGGCTAACTTTGAAGAGAGAGAGGGAGGGTTTGAAAAGAATTGACTTCCCGCGAAACATGAGGCACTGCTCCATCTTTGGTTTGAAAGGAGCTTTGAAATGTTAGGGAGATTTTTGAAGAGATGAGAAGACGATTCCGAAAAATATTACCTTCTGGTAAAAGAATATAAGGTAGCTACCGTTACTGCTCATTCGTACCAATTATTAGTCAACTCCGATGTCAGCGCCCGACTAGTAAAATGAACGAGGCGGCTCCGATCGAACGGGCGGGGGGTCAGAATTGAGCCACCGACCCCATCATGTGACACTGGAGTGAGGACCGGTATGTTCGATAGCGAATTCTTCTTGTGAAAGGGGTAGGGGGTGTGGGTGTTGAGGGGTGGGTGTTCGGAAGGGGTACGAAAGGAAGGTTGAAAGGGGGGTTTTAAAAGGGGTGGGGTAAAGTTACAAAATGGAAAGTGAAGTTTGAAAGATGTGGATGATTATTGTAAGGAAAAATTGATGAAGCGGAAAATGATTACATAAAATTTTTGTTGACAGGAAATTGATGATTGCCCTGAGCATGATGATTCAGCCTGGCTCGTGGGGGGCAGCCATAGTAAAGGCAAGAATTGCTCATCAACATAGAAATACTATGACCATCATGTCGGAACCCCAGGAGC